GCGAGATTTTGTCACGAGATTTCTCACGCGGGATTTTATCCGCTGGCTACCTAGAAGAGTGTGGATATTAAAACCTGCGCGTTGTTTATTGAATTGCTTATTTCTGCAATTTTCTTTTCTTTTGTTGTTGTTAATTCTCACCTGAGGATATTTTTCCATTGATTTTTAGAGAGAGTGGAAGAGGGTAGGAAAGACAGGGAGAAACATTGATGTGAGAGAGACACGTCGATTGGTTGCCTCCTGCACGAGCCCCGACCAGGGCCCGGGCGAAGGAGGAGCCTGCAACTGAGGTACGTGCCCTTGACCGGAATCGAACCTGGGACCCTTTGGTCCACAGGCCATCGCTCTGTCCTCTAAGCCAAACCGGCCAGGGTTATTTCTGCAATTTTCCGTTTAATATTTCTAGACCTCAGTTGATGGCGGGTAACTGAGATCGGAGAAAGCAAATTGCATATGAGGCGACCATGGTAAAGCCTTGAGATGAAACACAGAACATCTTCATGACCCTAGATCAGTGGTTCTCAACCTTCCAAATGCCGCGACCCTTTAATACAGATCCTCATGTTGTGGTGACCCCCAATTTCATTGTTACAAATTGAACATAATGAAAGCATAGTGATAAATCACAAAAACAATATGTAATTATATATGTGTTTTCCGATGGTCTTAGGCGACCCCTGTGAAAGGGTCGTTCGACCCCCAAAGGGGTCGCGACCCACAGGTTGAGAACCGCTGCTCTAGACAAAAATTCCTTAAGCAAGATGCACAAAGTACATTCAATGGAAAACTTCTTTCTGTTCAAAGATACCATTGATAACAGCACAAAAAGCAAAAAGGCAATCAGACTATGGGGGAAAAAAATGCTTGCAAAACCTCCACCATCGGGATTCCGTTATTCCTATTCTAGAAATAAAGAAACTGAGGCTCCGGGAAGATCAGTGTGTTGACGAAAGACACACAGGGAATTGTATCACAGTACAAATCTTGGACTTGAACCGGTCTTTCTGGCTCGGAGTCACTGAGCTCAGCCAACTCCAAGCCAGCAACAGTCAAACACTAATGAACGGCAAGCAGGCGGAGAAAGGAGACCTGGCTTCTATTTCGGCATAGTCCAAATTTGGGGTCGACCAGCCCTCCCTGGTTTCTTTCTCTCCTTTTAAATGAGGCCTACGTAGGACCTGTAACGTTTTTGTTGCTTTCGAATTAGAGAACGGACAGCTATAAAAGAAAGTGGGTGAAACGCAGATAGAGGATCAGGATATTGGGAAAGAAGTTGGAAACTCCTAGATGTGCAACGTACTGGGAAGTGTTGGGACCACATGTGAATTGCATGCCTGCATACTCCCTCAGGACTATGACTAACCCAAATCGAGGCTAAAAACTTAGATTAGGAGAAAAGGGGGCATTCATTATTAAAACGAAAGAGGCACTTCATTTGGAAACCATTCACAGAACAGCCAAGATGAATACTCAGTAGAAATGGGCCGCTTGACCAAGTAACCATGTATAGCAGCGGTTCTCAACCTGTGGGTCGCGACCCCTTTGGGGGCCGAACGACCTTTTCACGGGGGTCACCTAAGACCATCGGAAAACACATATATAATTACATATTGTTTTTGTGATTAATCACTATGCTTTAATTATGTTCAATTTGTAACAATGAAATTGGGGGTCACCACAACATGAGGAACTGTATTAAAGGGTCGAGGCATTAGGAAGGTTGAGAACCACTGATGTATAGGAAGCAAGGAAAAGGACTATGGGGGGCGGGGAGAGCCTCATCATTTAAAAGTCAGTCGTCCTAAAATTGCTCAGACCCAAGAGTATTTGCCCTCACGCCCTGGCCCCCCAAACCGTGACTCTTTTGAAGGGGTTCATGTAAAAATCAAGAATTGGAGCACAGATCAAAACCTTCAGCCCAAACAGACCCTGTTCATTATGCAAAATACCTTTGTAATGGACTGAAACGATGATTTCCCAAAGTGCCTTGAATATAAATGACCATCAGTAAATGGTCCCTACTGGTATGATTGCCTCTAGCAAACTAGAGGCCTAGTGCACGAATTTGTGCATGGGTGGGGTCCGGCCTGCCTGCCCCAATTGGGGCTGATCCTGCAGGGCTGGCCAGGGGGAAGGGCTGAGGGTGGTTGGCTGGCCAGCCCCGCCCCCTGGTAAAACTCCCAGTCAAGGGGATAATTTGCATATCAGCCTTTTATTATATAGGATAGGATTATATGGGTTATGCTACTACAAATGATGAAGCTTATACTTGAGAACAGTTGAGTGGAGGGCGGTTTTCTAGAAATAACCATAAGATCTGTTTGCCGTTTAAATATAATTTGTACCAGATTCAGCGGGATCTCACAAAGCTCCAAGGTTAACTTTGCTGGAGAAAAACCAAACGAGTAGGTTGCAAACCCCTTCTATTTTTGAAGGTGGTGATAATGATAGCTACTACTGGGTCTAGTTCAAGACAGGTGTCTGGTCAATGGGCAGATGGGACCAAGGTCGTGTGCTATCCAGTTTTAGCCTCTTTACTAATAATTTGGAGGAGAAGATTCTACAGCACAAATATTTCAGGTAATTTTAAGTGAAATTATCTACCTATCTATGGCACAGACGCTATTATTCTCATATAATAAGGGGCTTTTCTTCTCTAATCAGAGTCCTATGCTAGGTAACACTGAAATCAATCTGCTGTCAGAGAAAGTTCTGCTTGTCCTTTTTTTTTTTTTTTTGTGGCTGGACCACTTCGGCTTATGCCGGCCTTTTGGGAGTAAAAATACAAAAAATAAAAACAAATTCAAGGCAAGCCTTAACCATTAAGTAGGTCAAAATTACCACTACCAGATAGAAATCTGATGGATGCATACAAAATCAGTCAGGCTAGAGCTATCTGTTATGCAGTTCAACAAATGATTTCATGTGTTTTTACTTTCCTGACCAATGTTTTGATCTAGTAAAGAAAATACATGCAAAGGCGGGGCTTGTATGTATTATCATAATGAATTAAAGGAACGGGCAGACAAATGGTGAAATCTCAGGGTTTCTCAGCTAGAAAGACAGACCTAATAAAATATTTCCCAGAGAAAAGCTGGATTAAATGAGTTGAATTCTGGCAGGGAGCAGGCCACTGACACTGGGCTTCCGGAAAACGTTCTCTCTTCACCCTGAGGTTTCAAATGCAGCAAGAGGGAACGTTGAATGATTTGCCTGAACCCACAGGTTTTGAGGTGGAGTCCGTGGACCAATTTTGAGATGTTATGTAATTTTACAAACATGTATGTGTGTCTGCAGGCATAGCTTATGGAAGGAGTCCAGCATATGCCACTGAGGCATGAAATTATTTTGAGCCGAAAGCATTTGAGAATCAACAGATAGCGGAATCCCCTCCCCCCCCAATGCCTTTATCTGAATAAAAGGAGAGCCTCCCAAAAGAACTCAATTGTTTAAATTCCCTCTCCAACAGCAACCTGGGAAGATAGACTGTCATCACCTGAGACAACAAGAAAACATTGCACCTAAAGAGATATTGCCTCGCAACCATCCTCTCTCTATTCTAAGGACACACCTGCTTTCCCTAGAAGTTATTTGTGTTCCCATGAGCCAATGGGACCTCCTTCCCTTTCTAAGAAGCCATTTTTCTTCCTGTTTTATTTTTATTTTTTTATTTTTATTTTTTTAATATATTTTATTGATTTTTTAGTGAGAGGAAGGGAGAGAGACAGAGAGCTAGAAACATCGATGAGAGAGAAACATCGATTAGCTGCCTCCTGCACATCTCCCACTGGGGATGTGCCCGCAACCCAGGTACATGCCCTTGATCGGAATTGAACCCGGGACCCTTCAGTCCGCAGGCCGACGCTCTATCCACTGAGCCAAACCGGTTTCGGCGTTTTTCTTCCTGTTTTAAATGCCTTTCTTCTCCTGTGAAGACAGCGTAGAAGCCTCTTTAATGCTTTAGTAGGTGATCAGTTAGTACTGATTAAAAAAAAGATCTTTAAAAGCTGACGATTGATTAAACTGAATTTCACACACAGTAAGATGGTGTGGGACCCGTCTCCTTTGGGTTTCTTGTGGAAACTTACTCCCAGCTCTTACACAATTTTAAGTGTTTATTTTCATTGGCTCTCTTTCCTGTTTTTTTTCCCTTATGTTTTTATTGATTTCAAAGAGTGGGAGAGGGTGAGAGAGAGAGACAACGACGATGAGAGAGAATCATGGATCGGCTGCCTCCTGCATGCCCCACACTGGGGAATCGAGCCTGCAACCTGGGCACGTGCCCTGACCGGGAATTGAACCCTGACCTCCTGGTTCATAGGCCGGCCCCATACAAATTCCTGGTGACGTACAGAAACCTTCGCATTGCACTTACAACTCCCATTCCGCTTTTGCGTCCAGTGTCTACTTAATCGATTAACAACTGTTTTCCACAGGCAGCTTATTAAGGGTTGATTGGGCCCAGCATCCTAGTGGCCGGTGGTGGCCTAAACTTGACGCTGAGAATTCCAGTCGGGGGGGCTGCAGAGGAAGCAGGTCTAGCTGACGATGCCTTCTGGTCAGGCAGTGTTATTTCATTTTGAAATTCTATAGAAAGAGAACAACAATAAAGCATCGGTTCCGCGTTTGAATAAATACGGGGTTGTTTTGCCGCCGAAGAACGTTTTCCTTCCAATGACTGATCTGATCTCACATGTCTGTTTAAAAAACGCCTGACGGGGGCCCTTACGGAATGATAGACGGGGACAAACGAGATGATAGCTGGGAGCGAGACAATGAGGCATTGTTTACACAGAAGACTGAGTAACTGGTTTCACAAAAGAGGTTCTTGGGTATCTATTGTATGTACAACCAAGAGATTTACTGGAGCTTTTATAATTTCTGCAGGACTCCTTTCCAGCCGGCGTCATTCACGTGAAGTAAATCAAATCATGCAGAAATCTGGCCCGGCCGAAAGCAAACCCGGGAAGATATAATCCGAAGAAAAACAGACACGGGGGGATGATAAGGTTTAGAATCTTTGGCATGTTTCATAAACATTTTGTTTGAAGATTATTAAATTACAACCCAGAGAGGGAGGATGGGGGGGGGGGGAACACCATAGTAAAACTCACTATTAAATCAGATCTTTTTCCCCCTCAAATTTCCTTTACAATATATATATATTACATATACATATATATATATAACGGCACATACAAAGTATGTGTGGACAAAATACAGTCTTTACAACTTACATGTCGCTTGAGAAGAAATTTTCATATCATTTATGTGCACAAAATTGGAACTTTTACGAGGGGAGGTTACTGTGAAATGCTGGGCCGGCAGGAATCGGGGACTCTTGACTCTTGACGGAAGTGGTACTTTTCTAGGAATAGGGCTGTGAGATAATATTATTATTACGGGTAACTTATTGTACCCATACGAGGAACGAATGATCAGCTGGGGCTGCTAAAATATCTTCACTTTCTGCTCAAAAATGCGAGCAAATGAAGCGATGATGGCCACCGCGTATGCACCCACATGTATTCATCCCTTGCTCCCGGGCCTTGACCTAAGTACTCTCTGAGTTCATTCATTCCTTTCCTTCCTTCTTTCATTCATTCCCTCCCCTTTCCTGAAGCCATCACGTGGACATTTTAGTTTGGAAATAAGCACAAAGTACAATCGGAAGAAATGGTGCTTTAAGACACCCGGATACTTCCAGGAACCCTTCACTTTTGGGACGAGTGCTCCCTTTCGACCCTCCCGGCACCCATTGCCAGCAACGGGCCCCGATGCAGGATGGCTCCCAGCGCCGAGGACTTGACTGAGATTTGACATGTAGATCTTCAGGAATCACGGCTGAACGCTTCCCCAAGGATCGGGGCTAATCCTGATCATTACTGAAAAATCTATAATAATTTATAATAATAAAAGCATAATATGCTAATTAGACTGGACATCCTTCCGGACCAAGCTGGGGCTGCAGCCGCCTCGGCTGTGAGGGAGGGATCGAGGCAGCTGCCACAGCTGGGAAGGCCTACTCTTGCACAGATTTCATGCATCGGGCCTCTAGTCTATTGATAAGATGCGTTCCTTGGGTAGAGGATATCTATCAAAGACTTGTTAGCTCAGAGGGGGAAAAAACAACAACAACGGACTCACAGGAAGCATCATGGGAAAGGAGTGTGGGGGGTGGGGAGTGAAAATGAGGGAATCCTCCTGAGAACCGGCCGCTGGAGGTATGAGCACAAGTTCAAAGTCCCTCTCGAATGCAAGGGGTCTCCTGGCTGTTCAGCCCCGCGGCAGCCTGGCTTTCTCTCCTCTATAAGAAGGGATGTGAGTCTTTCAGTCCCCGGATCGCCTCCTCCTGCTGGGCTGGCCGGCTGTGCCGCTAGGACATCCACGCGTGTGCACATCCCCGTGTGCGTGTGTGCATCTGTGCGCTTGAAGAAGGGGGGAGACAACAGACAGGGCACCGCACGACACGTGTGTCCGAACGGCACTGACCGCGGTGCCACGGAGAGAGCCATACCCTGGGCCCCATCGCCCAAACCCAGAACGGGGTGCTGGCGGCCACGGGCGGCGTGAGTCCTAGGGCCCACTGCGCTTCTTGCGAAGGGGGCTCTGGCTGCTGCAGGGCCTCAGCTCCGCGTACTGCACCTGTGAAAACAAACAGACGTGACGCTGGCGGTTCGGTAACCCTAGCTCCCCGCACCGTGTGCTAATGGCTCCCCCGGGGACGGGCCGAGGCAAAGGAAGGAAGGTTCAAAGGTAATGAATCATTTTCTAAACACAGGAACATGGGGGGATTAATTACAGGAAGGATTTGAGGAGTCATGCATCATTTCTGGAAACCAAAATATTAAAAGCAGATTTTTTCTTTTTTTTTTTTCTAATGAGATGCGTGGGGTTCTTCTACCTGCCCTGGCCACTGCTGGGGGATTTCGGTGGTGTGTGCGCGACCCTTTTGCACCATAAGCAAGCTTCGTATCAGCCCCTTGGGAATGTTTGTCTTAGTATATGATACTTACTACACGTTACTCATTTAAAAAGATCTAAAATCTTGGGGTGCGGGGGGGAGAAATATCTGCAAATGATACACCATTTATTTTGCCAGAGAGGGAAATAATGTTGAAATTGATACTGGCCCCAGACTTCTATAGATTTCTCTTAAAAATGAATTTCATTTCCAATGGAATGGCTAAAACATCTGTGATAACTATGAACGGGGGGTGGGGGTGGGGAGTCCTTAGTGGCAAACTGTCTATTGTGTTATTAGAAAGTGCTCTTGGCGATACTCGGAGGATCTCACTGGCGAACTGTATCTTTCTGGGACGTTCTTTTGTTGTGTTTCTGTGTGTTCCTGCCGACGCCAACTGGATGACCGCTTGAGGGCTGCTGTGTGCGCAGACAACCCCTGACCAGGCTCGATGGCAACTGGCATGCTCCAGGGATGCGGGCAAACCCTCACATTGCCACTCAAGTGCCCGTTCGCTGCAACCCTACTGTGTGTGAGCTTGCACAGGCTGATGGCGGGATGGCTTCATGTAAAGGACTGCAGGGCAGGCCACCTGTGCTCACCACCTGGAGCATTTGTGCCAAACTCTCCAAGGGCAGCAGGACACATCACATACGCTGAGCTACAGTAGGTCAAGAGCAGATGCATGAAATACCAATAAAGCTTGATTTCCTCACAGTGCTTTGTGAAGGTGCCCTGGGGGATAGGGGGGGACATACCTGTGGATCTTCAGTGCAGAACAAGCAAGGGCTAGGTGACTTTTTAAAAAAAATCTTATTGATTTTTACAGAGAGGAAGGGAGAGGGATAGAGAGTTAGAAACGTCGATGAGAGAGAGACATCGATCAGCTGCCTCATGCACACCCCCCTACTGGGGATGTGCCCACAACCAAGGTACATGCCCTTGACCGGAATCGAACCCAGGACCTTTCAGTCCGCAGGCCGACGCTCTATCCACTGAGCCAAACCGGTGAGGGCCCAGGTGACTATTTTATAATCGTGCAATGCAAATGTCAACGAGTAAATTCATATTTTGTAGAATATATTTTTTAAAAATATATTTGTACTGATTTCAGAGAGGAAGAGAGAGGGAGAGATAGAAACATCAATGATGAGAGAATCATTGACCAGCTGCCTCCTGCACGCCCCGGACTGGGAATCGAACCAGGGACCTTTCGGTTCCTGGGTTGACGCTCAACCACTGAGCCCCACCCGGCTGGGCTGTGGAATACATTTTAATAGAGAACTATATCAAAATGAACGCTAAAGGGATATAGCATCACGGATTCTGTTTTAATCTCTAGAATTTGGAAGGAAGGGGAAAGAAATGCTAGGGTTTTCCAGCCCTACATCCTGGAAGCCACCCGAGTTCCCGAACACCATCATGTCACAGCGGCCCGAAGACGAAAGGCGATACCTGCTCCCAGATGCTAACACACTGTGTCTTTGGTCACCGTGATGCCGTTTCACGCCATGGCCTCCCGTCTACCGGTTCTCTGATCCCTAATTCTCCATTACAGAGACGGCTGCCTGCCCCCCGGGCTTACAGCAGCCTGATCGGTGGGGGCCCAGATGAGGCCTCTTGAGGGGACTCGCTGGTATTGTTCCCTTAGCTAATCTCTCTGTCTCCACAGAAACAGGACGCCGCTGGACTAACTGACCACTGCCTGTGGATAATACTTCTGATTGATCTCAAATCATCTCACGCCGTTTCTGCCTCTATGTGCATTCGAGTAAGTCTGGGCTTTTGCCCTAAGCAGCCCTAAATCTTTAGAGGGGACGAGATACCAGGGGGGCCTAGGCGATCATCAGAGCCAACAAGAATAAAGAGAATAATCCTCCTCTCCCCTACTCCCCATAAAACGCCGGCCACCCCTTTTCGGACCTCCCACTCGCCCATGCACTGAGCCCATCTCATCCTCTTTGGGGGCGGCGAGCGATCCCGACAGGGACCGAGACCCCTGCATCCGAGAGGCGCAGCGTGAGTTCCAGACTGTTCTTAAGTCGGCTCTTTTTCAGGATAATTTCCCCCAATCATCTCATGCTTTTGGGACAAAGGTTTCTGGCTGCCTCCCTGCAAGCCAGGCCTCTGTAAGCATGTTTCCGAAGCGTTATCGCAATTACTCACACACTGGCACAGCCTCGGGCTCTGGGGCTGGCCAGACTCCCGTGTGTGTGTGTGTGGGGGGGGGGGGGGTGGGCACTGATGGTGACCCGTTCGTTCATTACGTACCTTTTGAACATCAGACGGTACCCTGGAGAGGAAGTCTAGTAGCTCGTTATTGTCGATGGCATAGGGATTTCGGAACTTCTTAGTAAATTTATTGATGCCTGAAAAATAGAAGAGACACAGGGAGATCTCATCGTCTGTCTGTCTGTCTGTCTACCTTTCCAACTCGCCCGACTGGGGGAGGAGGGGCGTTCGCAAGAAAGAAATTAGTGTGAAGACAATTCCTGGACCCCCAGCCAGGCCCACGCTGCTGTCATGTGGAATCATTCACAAACGCCTTTTCTTGCAGGAAGGAAGGAGGGACTGCGGGAGCGGGGCCCTGCCTTCCCCGGCTGTGAAAATCCCATTACGATCCCAGCAGCGGGGCGGCCGAGACACCCACGGAAACCGGGGAGCTCATTGGCGTTTTGGGGCGACACTGATTCACAGCCTCCTCTGCCAGGGAAACACGTGTCCCAGGTGGGAAAAGACCTTCATCAGCCCAAACAAGTCACAGCTTGGGGGCCGCGGGCCCAGCGCAGCCGTGGGAGGTGCGAGGCCCGAGTTGTGTGTGTGTTGGGGGGGGCGGGGGTAGGGGGGGTTTGCTGTTGTTAAAAAGAAGCTGCAGAAATCTATCTCCCCCCGCCTCCTCCAACTCATTTTCACAGGTTTCGCCTCTCTCCCTGCAGAACAGAACTCGACATGTTGATTGTACTTCGAGGCGGCAGGAAACTGTGAAGAGTTATTATTGGAAAATTATCTTCCCGGGGTTTGCTAACTTAATTTATGGACGGCAGCCCGGGGGGCGTGGGCTGGTCCAGGCAACGGAGTCCATGCTCATTTCAGCCGGGGGCCGTGGCGACTGGAAGGGGGCTCTGTCCATGGTCTCTCCAGAGGGGGGCTCCTCTGACCCCCTTCTGGCTCCCAGGCTGCTCCTCGCCTGCACCCACTACTCAGAAACGATATTCTTTTCAGCAAATGCCAACCCTCTTTCACGCTGAGTTTGAGAGGGTGAAAAATTAAGGTGGCCTTCTGAGGTTCTGCCACCGAGAGCTTGTGTAACAAGGGTCGTAGCGGGAAGTCTTGTTAATTTCAGCAACGCTGAGTGAATTGTCACCTGAGGTGTGTACCTTGACTGGCTCCTATTCACCAGCCCAGGTCAGTTTCATTGTATGTTTTTGTTTTTACTTTTTATTAATTTGAGAAAGGAAGGGAGAGGGGGAGAGAGAGAGAGAGAAACATCAATGATGAGAGAGAATCATTTGATTGGCTGCCTCCTGCACGCCCCTTACTGGGGATGGAGCCTGCAACCCGGGCATGTGCCCTTGACTGAGAATTGAACCGTGGCCTCCTGGCGCTCACCACTGAGCGACACTGGCCAGGCACAGTGAACTGTATAATGATCCCTAACACAGACACGGTTTGACATTTCTCTAATTTCATTGACGATGACTTTACGTTCATCTAAGGGCGGGACTTCCTGGATGGCCCTGTACCTGACACAATGCCAACCTCCAGGCATTTCCTTAGAGCAGCGGTTCTCAACCTGTGGGTCTCGACCCCTTTGGGGGTCAAACGACCCTTTCACAGGGGTCGCCTAAGACCATCGGAAAACACATAGATAATTACATATTGTTTTTGTGATGAATCACTATGCTTTCATGATGTTCCATTTGGAACAATGAAAATACATCCTGCATATCAGATATTGACATGACGATTCATAACAGCAGCAACATGACAGTTATGCAGTAGCCACGAAAATAGTTTTGTGGTTGGGGGTCACCACCACATGAGGAACTGTATGAAAGGGTCGCGGCATTAGGAAGGTTGAGAACCACTGCCTTAGAGAGAGAGGGTCAGGTGTGTACATCTGCTTTGCAAATGGCGGCCAGGCCACTGTTCACGGGTAGATGGAAGCGGGGTGGTTGGGCCGGGGAAGAAGGCGTCTTGCAAATGATCCCTTTTCTCCCAAGTCAGAGCCGCACTGTCTGTCTCCCCTCTACCCCCACAGCAAGCTTGATGTTTCTAGCAAAAACTCCCCCCTCCCCTCCCCCCTCCCCCCTGCGCATTCCTTTAAACTAAAATCCACTGGCTGTGTGCCTCTAAAGGCATTAATTGCAGCATGGGCTCTTTGGCAAAAGGAAACAGACAAGGCAAAATGACGCAGCGAGACAAAGACGCGCGGAGAAAGGATATATCTTCTGTTGTTAATTATATACAGTGTGCGCATCTGGAGCCTTTACAATGAACAGCCAGGCAGGGATAAGATCCCAGCCGATCAAAACACCACATTCTTAGTTACTGAGAAGATTAGGAACCTGCATCGTCGCTCCGATGCACCAGAGAGGGCAGGGGTAGCCCGCAATGCACTGAGACGGACTACGGAAAACTTAGCTGGAATAAAAAGTTATAAGGCACTCAGATTGCAAGCTTCCAAAGGACACCTTTAAAAAATATATATATATGGCCCTAACCGGTTTGGCTCAGTGGATAGAGCGTCGGCCTGCGGACTGAAGGGTCCCGGGTTCGATTCTGGTCAAGGGCATGTACCTTGGTTGCGGGCACATCCCCAGTAGGAGATGTGCAGGAGGCAGCTGATCGATGTTTCTCTCTCATCGATGTTTCTAACTCTTTATCCCTCTCCCTTCCTCTTTGTAAAAAAATCAAAAATATATTTAAAATATATATATATATATTTTGACTGATTTCAGAGATGAAGGGAGAGGGAGAGAGAGAGATAGAAACATCAATGATGAGAGGGAATCATGGATCGGCTGCCTCCTGCAGGCCCCCGACTGGGGATCGAGCCTGCAACCCGGGCATGTGCCCTGACCGGGAATCAAACCGTGACCTCCTGGCTCATAGGTCGACGCTTAACCACTGAGCCACACCGGCCGGGCCTGTCTGAGCATCTCAATATCTGAAGATCCTAATGGTGACGACGGTTGAGAAGGCCGCAGCCGTCACAGGAGCCAAGTAACGGAAAACCAGGCCTGACACAGACTCTTGTGGGGAAAGGCGGATGGCTTCTCCCACTTAATTTCCTGCAAGGCACCCTCCCGCATCGACCCACAGCCCACCCAGCGACCATCGCAAATGCTCACCAAGCTGCTCGGATTTTGTCCGACTGCGGGCCGGGGTGGTAAATCAGGTCATGTGATTTACTTCCAGTTTTCCGTTTTGGTTTCTGCTTTTTTAAAAGCAGCTAACCTGTATATGGGCGCACCATTTCCCCTGGTAAATTATACCTTCCTCTCCTTCCTGGCCCTCCCGTACCCCCACCGCATCTGGGTTTAAGTATTGGGTTGGGCTACGTTTTCCTCCAGGAGAGACGAAGTGTCAGGAGCAACCTGGCTACTTTCACACACTACGAAGGGCAAGATGCAGGTGTTCGCTCACTGTTTGAATAACAGTGCAAGCGCAAGGCTGCGGGACCACAGCCATATATCATTCCAGGGGATTTATGGCTACGACAGCCGAAGGGAAGTCACACGCACGATCCCATTTTCATTGGATCACAGTTATGCAACAGCCCTTTCAATAGCGATGCAGGTCTTTCACCCAAGCTGGCCTTTTCAGGGAGGTCCTGGATTCCTGGTGGCCTATACGCTTTCTTTCAGCTCGTGTTTAATTGCCGGCAGGAGCACATTGAAAGTTTACAGTCACGCTTTAAGAAGTGAATAATAATGGGCCCTGGCTGGTGTGGCTCAGTGGATAGAGCGTCGGCCTGCGGACCGAAGGGTCCCAGGTTCGATTGCGATCAAGGGTACATGCCCGGGTTGCAGGCTCGGTCTCCGGCGGGGGGCCTGCAGGAGGCAGCCGATCCATGATTCTTTCTCATCACTGATGTTTCTATCTCTCTCCCTCTTCCTTCCTCTCTGAAATCAATAAAAAATATGTATTTCTTTAAAAATGAGTATTTGGTTCTTACCTGGAATGGACTGCTAGCCAAAGGACCGTGCCACACTTACCCCAGATTAACACGATGTACCGAAGTGGAACGAAGTACAACATGATGGTGGCGACCGCCAGCATCACACAGGCCAGGAATGAAAGGAACGGCACCGTCCAGTTAAACGTGCTGCAGGCAAACCACAGAAATGTCACTTTCTCTGAGGCTGGAACAGCTACAGCGATTCATTTGCTCATGTTTACTTCTTAGTCATACAAGTGGAAACAGTCCATTGCAGCGGTTCTCAACCTGTGGGTCGTGACCCCTTTGGGGGTCAAACGACCCTTTCACAGGGGTCGCCTAAGACCATCGGAAAACACATAGATAATTACATATTGTTTTTGTGATTAATCACTATGCTTTCATTATGTTCAATCTGTAACAATGAAAATACATCCTGCATATCAGATATTTACATGACGATTCATAACAGTAGCAAAATTACAGTTATGAAGTAGCAACGAAAATAATTTTATGGTTGGGGGTCACCACAACATGAGGAACTGTATTAAAGGGTCGAGGCATTAGGAAGGTTGAGAACCACTGGTCAATTGGGAAAGTTTCTTGGAAAACCTGGAGAGAAAGTCTGCCGGAACGACTGGGCACTGGAAAAACATTCTTCAGGAGAAGGTCACCAGACCAATGGCCATTGAGCTTCCTGGACCCGGTAGTTCCCAGGAGAAGGCTTGGCACTCAAAAGTGATTAAAGACTGCAATACTGCCCGGCCTGCGTGACTCAGGGGATGAGCATCGATCTAGGAACCGGGAGGTCACAGTTCGATTCCCAGTCAGGGCACATGCCCGGGTTATGGGCTCCATCCCAAGTGCGGGGCGTGCAGGAGGCAGCCGATCCATGATTCTCTCTCATCATTGATGTTTCTCTCTCTCTCTCTCTCCTTCTCTCTTCCTCTCTGAAATCAATCCTATATAATAAAAGCCTAATATGCAAATTGACCGAACAGCAGAATGACCGGTCGCTATGACACGCACTAACCACCAGGGGGCAGATGCTCAATGCAGGAGCTACCCCCAGCTTGCAGGCCCCAGGCCAGACAAGCAGGTGCCAGCAGGGTGGCCTCCCCCCCACCCCCTAGATCACCCCACTGGTCGCCCCGATCGCCGGCCAGGCCTAGGGACCCTACCCATGCACGAATTTCGTGCATCGGGCCTCTAGTAAAAATATATTTAAAAAAGAAAATACACACCATTTCATGTACATGCAAACCCATCTGGGGAGCCTCACTCTCAGGGTTTTATGTAAGTTTTTTATGTGCGGGTTGCCAATAGCTGGGAGGAAGTTTTCCATGGTCCTTCAGCACCGAATTACAATGGAATTCCGACAGAGTTACCCAGGACAGCCCCCTGGGGTGCCCAGCGGGGACACGGAGGTCACTGTCCTCATGAATGGCCCAAGAAATGAATAGGAGCGGAGCCTTCCTGTGTCGCAGCTGGGCGGAACAGTGCCCTGTTCATGGCTGAAAATATGTCCTGGCCGTGGCCACCACAGCTGTGCCGGGGCAGCCGGCCCTCGGAAGCTCTGGAGAGAGTGGGGGCCTGTTCCGGTCACTCTGCCCTCTTCTGCCGTCAGACACATTTCCTTGCTCATTACCAGCCGCACAACAGCCACGTTTGTCTGTGAGACATTCAGGCTCGGAGACGCTTTCACCAAAGACACGGCCTTCCTTCCTCGGGCTTGCCCCCCCTCCACAGCCTCTCATCCTCACTCAATTTTTTAAAAAAAATATGTTTTTATTGATTTCAGAGAGGAAGGGAGAGGGAGGGAGAGATAGAAACATCAGTGATGAGAAAGAATCATGGATCGGCTGCCTCCTGCACGCCACCTACTGGGGTGGAGACCACAACCCAAGCATGTATCCTTGACCGGAATCGAACCTGGGAACCTTCAGTCTGCAGGCTGACGCTCTATCCACTGAGTCACACCAGCCAGGGCTCATTTTTTTTTTTTCATTGACTTTTGCAAGCCACTCAAGTCCCTGAATGATCCGCCTCACCTCCAGGCATGCCAGGACCATGGCCTATGGCACAGACACGCTAACTCACCTACAGGTCCCTGTACCTAGCACGGTCTTGAGCTCTGAGCCTTGGCACAATGGCCTGCACCTACTGAAGCCCCCAATCAACGGTTCTATGCCCAGCTGTCTGTCTCTTCTCATTCTCAGAGAAGCTGACAATCTGTGGCATCGTCAGCATTGCCCTCTGTCTGTCTCTCTCGTACATCTCTTTCTGGGCTGGTCCGATCTCTCCCCTAACATCACGTGGTTCCGACAAAAAAGACTCCTTTAAAACCTATCTGCTTCCCTTTTCATTTGTGAATAGGAAATTATGTTTTTTTAAAATGTAGTTCATCACCCAATCTAGGGTCTTTTTCAGAGTGAGCGGGACACTAGTCATCGTTATGCTGGGCCATCTGGTCACCCCAGGTCTGAGGCATTGCCCAACTGTGAGCCTGACAAGCCCAAACAGCACACCAGCCAGAGTGAACAGGGCTTGCCTGACACCCTGGCGGCAGTTTTGGGGTTCTGCGTTTTCTGACCTCACGCTCCCCACCCGCACTCGCCCTAGCGGATGGCAGCTCTAATTCAAACACCACGATGCAGAGGCAGGACTTACTTTTTAATTCTTTCTCCAAAGGAAGCTACTTCCTCCAAGATGTTCTGAACTGTGGCAACGATGTCCTGTACCATGTAGATTCTTTCGATGATGCCCTTCTTCTCGGATTCCTAAGAAACGTAAAAGAAAGATTGGACGCAGTTACGCTCTCGTTATTGTTCCTGTCTAGAAAGGAGTGTATTGTGCTACATAATAGCACGGTTATCATCCGCAGAGTGACTCTAAGAGATGTCACATTTCTTGCAACATAAATATTTATTTATTTCTGATTTCAGAGAAGAAGGGAGAGGGAGAGAGAGAGAGAGATAGAAACATCAGTGATGAGAGAGAATCATTGATCGGCTGCCTCTTGCAGGCTCCCTACTGGGGACCAAGCCCACAACCCAGGCATGTGCCCTTGACCAGAATCAAACCCGGGACACTTCAGTCTACAGGCTGACGTTCTATCCACTGAGCCAAACCGACTAGGGCTACATATATATATATTTTTTAATTAATTTCAGAGAGGAAGGGAGAGGCAGAGAGAGATAGAAACATCAATGATGAGAGAGAATCATGGATCAGCTGCCTCCTGCACGCCCCACACTGGGGATCAAGCCCGCAACCCGGGCATGTGCCCTGACCGGGAATCGAACCGTGACCTCCTGGTTCATAGTCGACGCTCAACCACTGAGCCACACCAGCTGGGCCGTAAGTACTGACTGAACCCACAAAATGCCCTGCCCATCCATCCAGATGCAAGCACTCTCGGTGTGCAAGCTTCCCGTGCTCCCAGGATGAATGGAAGCCCCATGGAGCCAAGACCTTCGTCTCCCCGTTGGGGCGATGAGTCTGCCAGGGACTCTGTCATTCCCTTTGGCTGACCCTGGCTTCCTCGTTTGTCTTCACCAGGCTATCGGCCAGCTCCCCTGCGCCCACCCCACCCCCCGGCACAGTGCCTCAGAGATGGTTCCGGCAGGTAACAACGTGGCATGTTGGCTATGTAGACGCTATGGCTTCCTAGCACTGTGGCTTCTTAGTCAAACGCTGCTGCATTTAAAAAATATATATTTTTGCCCTGACCGGTTTGGCTCAGTGGATAGAGCATCAGCCTGTGGACTGAAGGGTCCCAGGTTTGATTCCGGTCAAGGGCATGTACCTTGGTTGCGGGCACATCCCCAGTAGGGGGTGTGCAGGAGGCAGCTGATTGATGTTTCTCTCTCATCAATGTTTCTAACTCTCTATTCCCTCCCCCTTCCTCTCTGTAAAAAATCAATAAAATATATTAAAATATATATATATTTATTGATTAATGCTGCTCTTGTGGTCTCCTCGCTCTGTGATGGAGGCAAGTTCCTGATCCCTTTCCAAGTTGCAAATTTGTTATCTAGAAAAGGGAGGTCATAGGGAGTCCTTGGAGAGGTAAACAACACATCAGCACTTGGTACACTAGGCACTTCACACACGAAAGCCCGTCCCCTTCAAGAATGCCAAGAGCCGGGCCGGTGTGGCTCAGGGGTTGCGCCTCGACCCATGAACCAGGAGGTCACAGTTCGATTCCCGGTCAGGGCACATGCCTGGGTTTCGGGCTCAATCCCCAGTAGGGGGCGTGCAGGAGGCAGCTGATCCATGATCCTCTCTCATCATTGATGTTTCTCTCTCTGCCTCTCTGAAATCAATAAAATATGTAAAGAGAAAATAAAAAAGAATGCAAAGGGACAAAAGGCTGAACAAGCAACTTTCGGTCCAGTCAAAACAGCCCTGGGGTTGATTTAAGTTTCAAAAGCAATGAACTTCCAGGACAAGCCTACTCATGTCGCCCCGTGCTGTCTGAGCTTATCTGGCAGTTCTATCGGCTCCACGCTGGCTTTATTTACACGTTTCCGATGGAACCGGGGAATGTGGCGGTAACACAGTTTAGCAAACACAACGTTACATCTGCGGCTGCTACCCGATTCCCCAGGAGGCGTCGCGGGGATCCATTCAGAAAGACAGACCTGCTGCCTCACGCTCTGACGTTTTCCGTACCATAGGACGCTTCCAATTATTCGAGGGAAATGAGTAATAAAAATTGTGATAGCCGCGGGTGCCGTTCAACCAGCAAACCATGTCACAGCGGCGAACAACGTGTTTTTTAGATTTCGAGGGAGAGTGGATTTTACTTCTTACGAATTTGAAAGCACCCAGGGGCATGAGTAAGAGTCACATGACTTGGGGTCTCGTTTACGGCATGATGGGAGAGACGAGAGCATGGAACTTTTCGAGACCCAGGCTTCACATTTCATAATGCTCCTCTGTTCTGTATAAAGCAAGAGTGGCACTTGTCGTAAGAAAAAGAATGAGAATGCCAATTCTATAACCTAAACATAGAGACTACATACAAATAAAGGCAAAATCACCATTTTTTTCATTGTCCATTTCCTTCTAAAATGTTAAAAAGAAAAAAACCCATACACACACAAAGAAAACCCGGAGTCCTTAGGCTAAGTTTCATAAGCAGCTGAAATAAGAACAAAGAGTAGACCCGTGTGTTACAGAGTTGTTGTGTGTGGTTTTTTGGTGTTTTTTTTTTAAAGAACAAAAATGAAATAAATCAAGAAGCAAATATTTCGCCCTAACCGGTTTGGCTCAGTGGATAGAGCATCGGCCTGCAGACTCAATGGTCCCGGGGTCGATTCCGGTCAAGGGCATGTACCTTTGTTGCGGGCACATCCCCGGTAGGGAGTGTGCAGGAGGCAGCTGATCAATGTTTCTCTCTCATCAATGTTTCTAACTCTCTATCCCTCTCCCTTCCTCTCTGTAAAAAAATCAATAAAATATATATTTTTTAAAAAAGAAGCAAATATTTCCTTCTTCAAGGCTCCATTGCTTTTCCCATGCCTCCAATGACTAGAGGATTGTGGGAGAGAATTAACACCATCACCATGAATTTACAACTAAGAATTAATTATATCATCAGTATGTGACTTAAATCTTTCCTACCTGTTCTGATTTAGGAAAGCTCCTTTCTCTCTCTCTCTCTTTTTTGAAATATGTTTTTATTGATTTCAGAGAGGAAGGGAGAGGGAGAGAGAGAGAGAGAAACATCAAAGATGCGAGAGAATCATGGATCGGCTGCCTCCTGCACGCCCCCTCCTGGGGATGAAGCCCACAACCAGGGCATGTGCCCTGACCGGGAATGGAACTGTGACCTCCTGGTTCACGGGTTGACGCTCAACCACTGAGCCACACCGGCCGGGCTCACCTTTCTCTTTAATTATCTAAGCAAAACTGGAGACATAGTCCTGACAGTTAACCACAGCAGGAAAAACCTTTTTGACACGCTGAGACACGGAGTAGTATTTGTCACAGGATGTACAAGGTTCCCAAAAGCCATCCATGTCACATTTCCACCTCAAGATCTTCCCAATCATTTCAGCCACGCAGAGCAAAGAGGCAAACAGAGAACTTTAGACTGCAAAGGCGGGGGTATGTTTGGGCTGTGTCCTCCCACTGAATAGTAAAAGCCTGCCATTTGAAAACGTGCAAACATGATAAACATCAGAAATAGATGGAGTGGCATTCAGCATGAAAAAAAAAACACACAAAAAAAACCAACAAACCCCTCTCAACATCTGTCATAACAAAAGAACAAGAAGCAATATTTCTGATAACAGAAGATTAAAAACGGGTCTTTCGGAAGCCTGGCTTACTGACTGGGAACTGTCTTCAGGGCTTCTTCCCATGAGATGGGTTGCGCGTGCATGGAGACACACACACACACACACACACACACACACACACGCACACACACACACGCAGTCAACTCCCCGGTGCATGCCGTTTCCAGGAGGGAAGGAAAATCATTGCTCTTTCCGGAGAGGCATCCCTCTCCAGCAGTCCATTTGCTTTGGGGAAATGAACAGAAAACAGACTGTTTGGGTTTTGAGTCAATAGAATTCCTAAGTGGATTTAAACGGCTCTCCCTGTCTGCTCACTGCACACCGGGCTTCCACGCTGACAGGTACTTGCCGGCGTGTGCTTCTGGCTTCAACATCTCATTAGGAGTTTCTCTCACCCACTGACAGGTGCCAGGCCTGCGACCGTGAGGCAGGGCTGAGGGCTTCCTGTCCCTGGAACTACTGCGGCTCAACACGCCAGGAGCTGCAGTTGGTGAATGAGCAGGGTGCCCTTTCGTGTTCTCTGAGGTGGGGAAGTGAGGCGGGTGGAAGGAAAAATATGTGTGTGACCAATCAATGCAATAAGAAGTTCTAACATGTTTTGTTTTTATTGATTTTAGAGAGGGAGGGAGAGGGAGAGAAAGAGAGATAGAAACATCAATGATGAGAGAGAATCATGGATCAGCTGCCTCCTGCACGCCCCCTACTGGGGATGGAGCCCCCAACCTGGGCATGTGCCCCAACCAGGAATCAAACCAGGACCTCCTGGTTCCTAGGTCGCCGCTCAACCACGCTGGCTGGGCTCAAGTTCATTTCTCTTAATTCGGGTTTATTCATTTGGAGATGGGGGAGGTAGCTAATTTAATGGTTTATTTTGAATGCTGAGTGGGCTGAAACATATAAACACAGCCTGGAAATTGTAAACACTCTACAAATATTATTTTTTAAATCTAATTATACTGAACTAATTCTTACTGCAGATGATGTTGTTTTAAATTATTACTCTTGTGTCATTTATTACTTACGTTACTTTCCCTTGAGGAAAAAAATGGTGCCCCCCCCCACCTTTCTTGTAAATTATCAATTAGCTTCTAAACTCACTGGATAATTGGGACTTAGTGCAAATCACACTGAAACAAGGGGTTTCATGAGGATAGACAAGAGGACTAGCTACTACCCTCAGAAAAACAATGACCTGTGGGTAATGGAGATACAATGTCCAATGCAGTCCACATCAGCATGATGTAAAAATTTTAATCAATGGGAAATTAAATATCTAGATTCGTTATCCTTTATAATAAAAGCCTAATATGCTAAGTGTCCAGTCGTCCGGTCGGCCATTCAACCAATCAAAGCGTAATATGCTAATGATATGCTAAGGCCACTCAACTTCTCACTATGATGTGCACTGACCACCAGGGGCAGACGCTCCAACCGGTAGGTGAGCTTGCTGCTGGAGTCTGGCCAATCAG